GCACGGCAACAGGGAGCGGTGAGCGAACTAAAATTCCCTTTAAGACAACGCAAAGCCTTAAGCCGCGTATCCCGATTACTTGAGCAGAAGTGCGTATTGTACTCATCTACGCTCGATTTCTCCGAATAGACGCAATACCAAATAGCACCAGCCAGACAACCGATGTGTAATATATCAAACAAGATCTATACAACTCATTCTAGATACTGATATTGAGATTGTATTTAAGAGCAAGTAGAAAGGTTTCTGTAGAACTTCTTCGACTTGAGGTTTTAAAGCTATTCACTTGCCCCATCCTCGAATACTACAGCATCCTATACGGCAATATGAGATAGAATGACAGAATTGCTGTGGAGAACCTACAGAGGTCATTTGCTAAACATCTGATTGATAAACACATTGCAATGCGTTATCGAGAACGTTGCAATGATCTTCAACTTGAACCACTTTGGATGCGACGATTGAAGCACAACTTGTTGCTGCTTTCAACATGTTACACAAAAATACCTATTCCAACCTGCCTACACTCAGTTTACAACATTGCTCAACTCAAGTGCATCGCAACAAAAATTTTATACTGAATATACCGAAGGCTAGAACGAACGTCTGATCTAATTTCTTCCTGGTCAGATACAGCTATCTGTGGAATAAACTACCAATAACACCCAGACCGTATGACAAGGTGGCAACATTTAGTAGCAGACTCTCCAGTTCCCTTGAGTTAGCTATCATAATCACTATATTCACATGGAAAAAGTCCATCAAGGAGTTATTACAAAAGGGGCCCAAGATTATTTAGACGCCAATGTCTTCATCACCAGGCTTTGGCCTCAACCATCCGCCAGAACGTTTCTACATGAAACGCATATCGCAAAATACCACCTTGGCAGGTCAGCCATGCAAGAGCATGGTACTTCTGTACAAATTAAGCTGTGTTGCTATAGACACAGTTTCTGTCATTAAGAGAAATATACGTATTATTAGTATTGTTATTATTATTATTAACTAGAGTGTTTCTGGTAAGCTGTTGGTTCCGTGAATCCCGCGCAAAATGTTTTCTGAAAATAGAGTAAGTTATTAACTGCTTTTGTCCTTAGCAAAGTCAAAGTCTAAGCAACCTGTCCTGTTCGTTTGGTATCTACATTCCTTGACAGCTTAATTGAATTTCTGTCAAACTGTGCAATTTATGCTCGATTTGTCTTAGTGGAGTAATTTCCTTTACCGTGAAGCACCCGGCTGCTTGCTTCTAGCGCAAACCCTTTCTGTCGCTTTGATGAGTACATTTGCACTAGACAGTGTATCCACGATGCATTAGGCGAACCAAACGCTTCATATGGAAAATTATGGACCTAACCAACGGTTAGTTTGGTGTTAGGTGCTTAGTTTTTATTAAACCAAAATAGCTCAAATGACTCGTGTGGAACGGTACACGTTTTCTTTTATCAGAGCAAATTAATGGAGTGTAGTAGAAAAGTTTCAACCACACTGAGATGGTGGACAGCCAACCTAGTGTGTGTAATCTTAAAAGCTCTCAATAACCCCCGGAAAGTTACAACAGGCTGTTCAAACGATGGGCGCAGTTCGTCATTAAGGTCCACTTGAATTGGCCAAGTAACTTGATCTAATGGGATGACTGCAATCCTTTGCTTCATCATTCAACTGATTGCAGCGACAAGGTAACTTCATAGCATGGTTTAAAAGAAAATAAGATGGCATGATGCGCACCTAAACGTTAGAATAATGTTCTACCAATATGAAAGACGGGACCATCGAACGACAATGCAAGCTAAGTGAAATGGCAAGGGGCTTCGGTGCGTGATGACGAGCTTGAAGTTTGTCAAATAAGAAGGTAGGAAGTGAAGTAGACTGATAGATACTGATAAAAATCCTGGCAAGACGGTTGTTCCAAGGATCAGCTATCACCTTTGCATCAACAATCCGCACTGCTTCGACACAGCGGACTCGTGTCGCACCAGAGTATCACGCTGAGGCACGTAGTTGCTGCAAATAACCAGAACCATTGTTCTAAAATTGTTAGTAGGATAACTAGCAAACAGGACGCATTAGACTGGATGTAAAAGTTCACCAAACCTTCGAGTACAACAGGGATCCATGAAGTTAATACTACTGACTTGTGACGTACATCTAACTTGAATATTAACGGTGGTATGATGAGCCGTGCCGACTGGATGACCTGTCTCACAAACCAGTTTGGAAGCATGATATCTTCGGCTTATTCGGGGGAATATCAAAGTGTTTACAAGTCGGTCCTTCTCCTTGCTGAGTGTGTAGTGAAGTGGTTGGACGTCCTCGGAGATTAAATCCACCGGGTAGGGCTCACTTCTCTGGCCATGCTGTTCCGTGTTGTCTAAAGTCTGAAGGTAATTTTCAACTGAGCTGTAGTCACCCAATCTAGCTCCACCTTTGCCTCCCAATCCACTAATCCTGCCAACAGTTGGATCATTTACTTGTGAAGGTTGAAGCAACCAACGCCAAAACAAACCACCGAACGGATTGCCTGGTGGTGACGCCACGCAAACTGCTTTCAATTCTTCGCCTTCGATGTATTCACGATTTGGCTCAGGGCTGATAATTTGTGGTGGTCCAGGTGGAGCTAGTGGTTTAATCAAAGAGTCGGAGGTAATGCATTACACAGAAGAAAACAGAATACTTCAGGTGGCTTTACAACAAAAGTTTGTGGTATGAGGTTGCTGCAAGTGACGCAATGGGGCAAAACGAGCTGATGGGTAATATACATTTTTAGATTTCGTCCCAACGATGGACTGGTTAAATGTGGTAAACACAGTAACTGAAATGTGTGTTGTAATATGTTGCGGTTAATGTAACTAGAATGACTGCGAATGCTATTTGATTATAACAGGGCTGACGAAGACTGAATGAATCGAACTAGCCAGAAATGCAACGTAATCTGAGATATATTGTAATCGCAGTCTGCATTGTTTCATCATTTGATATCATTTATATTTACTAGAAATGGTTGAAAATACCTTGGCGTTATGTAATATTCCCTTGATCCACACAAGCAATAAAAGTGGTTTCGAGTATCAACGTGTTACCTATAAGAGGCCAGCTTTGAAAGCCACTGCTTGGGTACTTGACATCTATTCGCACACCGTCTACAGTACCATAATTTTGAACATAACTACGTGAGGAGAAATACGATTCTTTTTTGAGACGTTATCAGGAATTTATGCATAACTTTAATGACACGTCCCATGGTCAAATGATACAGATGGTAAAGGGAAGAAAGCAGTCTACTTGTATTGTTTGCTTCCAGACGATTAGTGTAGCATTCACAACATGACAGCATTGCGTAGCTAGTAAAAATTCGTTTTTACTTGGAAGTTTTTTGGTAGAAATACTGAGTATCGACATCATCTACCAATTAGTTATTAAGAAACAAAATTAATTTTCCTTGGGAATTTAGTGGGTTGCAAAATATTGGTGACATTCACGAAGGTAATCAACCAATCATAGCCATATGAATGACATTCCAGTCTCTTAACGCGTTTCCAAGAATTGAATTTCGTATTCATTCGCCACTAACTTCAGCTTGGTTTTTCTGTTTTGACACTCACGCAACTCGTATGATGCGAGTCAGCAGACGGTGAGTAAAGTAAATGCGCTTGCTCGGTATGACAGTATTGGTAGTGTACAAACTCTCGGCGACAGGCACACAAAATAACCTAGGCCGACGGTAAACATTGACGGCAAGATCACAATGGTTGCATAGTTCCAACTAAGCAATAGTGTCAAATATCCATGGGGATAATTCGGAAACAGATGAGCATGGGTATTGTTTGTTATAGCGTGTAGAAACTCAAAGTGTGGTACAAAAATATAACTAACAGTTAGGTTCTAAGTTGATGTTAACAGAAATCAGCTTCAGTGCTACTATTGTGATCGTATAGACTGTAATCATATCCGCCAATGACGACATCGGAATGTCTAACGTCATCGTTCGCAAAACAGAGGAAACGTGACTAGCGTTCCTGATGACACAAAGTAAATAGACTGGCATTTGATTTGTTGAAAATGTTAGCTGCAAACTTGTCAGTACTTTCAAAAAACAAGTTGCAAGCCAGGATTAAGGGGAATTCAATGTTAAGAATCCCGCGAAGATGAAAAGGAAAATATGATAGAACCTACTGTGTGATGCCAATATGTTATTGCACACTTTCCTACCCGGAGCATGACTAAAACTACTCATTTTCAAACTTAAGAACAACGCGCGACCAGTGGATAACAGTCGCAAAATCATTATTTTATGCTAATCTGCAATATCAGCCGGAACATGAAAATTCGTTGCGGTTAAACTTGAATTCATCAATTCCTGCTGCAATTGGCCCACATTCAATGCATCGTAGTGCGTTGCCATTGGAATATCAACATAATTACAGTCCTAGTTAGTTTGTAAACGGAGGTGTCTAGCAGACAATATTTTGAAATCTGTCACATTTACTACCAACTAAATGCTACTAAGTTACTGCTATATTCATTGCATCTTCTAAATTCCTCACTTTTGAATCCAACGTGGCAATATAAGAAACTTGACTCTACCTTTGTTTGATTTTTCTTCAACACGCTTCTCAGTGATCACGGAGAAAGCGTGGGTTTACTGGTTTGCAATCCACTATCTATTTACTTAGAGCTGTAACTCATGGCATCCATGGTAGTAGCAAAGGTTTAGTAAGCATTCAGGAGCAGGAATTCCGAAACATGATATAAGCTCTCCGAGGCATGGATATTCTGGTTATAAACTCTAACCAACGAAATGGTCAAGCACCTGCTTAAACGTTGTGAAGATAACCTTGTAGCCCCCTAAACTGTGAGAAAAAATGAAACGGTAGGTGAAAAACTATTTGGACAACAAAACACGTTGCTTTACATAAATAAATGCAACTCCAAGATGCGTTTAGTTTTATAGAGCGAAAAAATTGAATGGAAATAGAAGCAGAGCTTCCTCCATGAGCTCGATGATGGCAACGAATGTCGTCACTTACTGTGAACTCGGATCGTCACAGCCGTGGTCAGATTCCTCTGGTGAACATCGTGATGAAGCTGTGTAGCTGCGTTCGTCACACTGCACATTAAATGATCACCATCCCTGAGGCCTGCTTTCAGCAAACTTATGCGCGATTCTCCTCTCTCATTCTGTGTCTGTATTATGGGAGCCAGAGATGTCCACTGACCTGGAACATAAGTTACAGCGTGTGCAATACGATAATTATTCAGTTGTTGCTAATAATTTCAATGGCTTACTTTGTAATTCAATATTACTCTTTGAGACTGGTTTCGCAGAGTATAAACTTCCGTTTCTTGCCTGTCTCATGCATTGGTAAATGCCATATTTTTTACAGGATTTATTATAGTTGGCTACATTATTGGTTTCGCGACAGGTTAGTGGTATTTTTGCATTAAATGCTGACGCAAAACGCATTTAATCGCACTAGAATAGGCGTCGAGAAGCACGTTTTATACTTACTAAGAAAATGGAAAATATCAAAACAATACCTTGGCTGTAACTGATTGTGAAACCACATACTCGGAACTATTGCTTCTAGATTTCGGGGCTGCGATAGCGGAATCCAAAGGCCACTTGACTTTCTCGGAAGAACGAGCATAAACACTCGGCATAACTTTCACCGTTCCTAGCTGTGAAACGAGGTTGACTAAGTGATGGTGCATTCCCCATGTGGTAGTGCGGTGAAACATGGTACTCTTACTCAACGCAGCAACTTTGCACCATAATGTGCGGAGAATTACTACTGCTATGCTCAGTCATTACTGTCATTGTTTCGATGCATGACCGACTTCCGCCCTGTGCTTTAGATGCATAACTTGAAACCATTTCTGTCTATATCAGAATGCACGCAAAATATTTTGCAAATAAATGGGATAACGTATGGATGGAAGGATTTTTGCGAGAATGCGCACCACTGACGAGCCCAAACAGGGCGAAAAGTTCGTCTGGTGCTTTATCGGATTGGTAGTTGACTTATCTGAATTGTCAGCGTAAATGGGTTAAGTCCTCTAGGCGCAAGATATATGCACTTTAAAAGTGGTGGTTTCCAAAAGATAGTGTACCAAAGTATAGCGTATCCATATTGAAAAGTACCGAAATTTGTTTCGGAATAAAACACTATCGATTCATAAAGAAAGGATTGTAAGCAGACCAGTTAGTCAGTTGTTTAATAAAATTAAAAGATAAATTTTATCCATTTGCTTCAACTAAAAGCTAGCGGTTTATATGGATAGCTCTCCTCCCCATGTGCGTTCAAATAGTGTGTTTTGTAAAACCTTAAAAATGAGTAAGGGTAGTAAAATAGCTGATGAAATAAGTGGGATTCTAGTTAGTCGACGCAAGGTCTTACTGTTTGGAAAAGATTAATTAAATTGTTGGCCGTTAAGGGGGAACTCCTCTACAAATTTGTTTGCTTGATGTGATCCAAATAATGCGGTTTAAAGATCATTCGGTCTCTAAACTTCTCAGCCGCCGTGAATGTTCCATCGATTTCTTTCCGGTCCGCAGCCAGTGGAGTGAAAAGTTAACCACTTTAGAAACGCTCAGATAGGAAAACTCGCTGTGTTAAATAATCCACTTTTGTTGACCCTTTCAACTTAAGAATCCAATTCCGGCTTATGAATCAATAGTCTAACTTTTCGGGTTTTTCACCTTAGACAGTAAGGCGGTTGGAAAAATATATGCACGCTACATCGCGATAGATTATTCCTAGGAACTAGAGGCCACATGAGTTAAAGTAAAAACGCATATCTTCAGCTTAGATGATTAGTACTTATAGCTGAAAGACAACACGATCTGAAAAAGCTTGGATTTGTCCGATTTAAATAACTAAAGTGGTTGAAAAGCTGCCGTACGTTATTAGCAAATTGCATTTGTCGTTAGATTCATTTGCAGCATTGGGGCGTAAAATGTTATGTAACATTATATGGGTTTAACAATGTAACTGTATTACGTAACACGGTAAATTGTTTGGTATATTTAGTTGCAAATGAAATTCGTATCCTATTATTTAGCTAGCGCTTGCTGTGGTTCATATAACAATAATCCCGGCATAAGCCTAAGCATCAATTCTAGGGAGCCGGACTCGAAAATGCCTGGCGATAAGCGATGCAGCATGACGTGCCTACAAGGTTAACCTCGACACAGCGTTTTTGGGAAATTTCCTAACCGATCGCAACCATTGCACTGCACTTGTTACTGAGGCCAAGTTAACTTATCAACTGTGCCGGTTCATGACAAACAACAAACTGCCACATAGGCATGTCAATAATCTTTGTAAAGCGAAGCATGGAATCCCTGCACTTTTCACGACAGGCGGTAAAGTACAAAGCGCCGAAGAAGCAGTTAATGCCCTATGGCTAAAATACGCCCCAATTTTCGAACTCGCAGCTTCTATCTGTCCCATAATGTCATGCACATTACCAACTCCCCTGTTTACACATGTACTGTTCAACCCATCAATTGTGCTAAGGAAGTTACTCTCACTGCGGGAGCTGACAACATCCGCCCGGAGGTACTGAAGGCTGTGGCCAACAAGCTAGCTGAAGCACTGTCACATTTTTTCCAAAGATGTTTTGAGGAATAACAAGGCCCCACTATGTGGAAGCGCGGGATTACCACCCAAATTTTTAAAGGCGGTAGCCGTTCAGAGTCTGCAAACTATCGCCCAGTGATTCTTCTCCTTGTGCTCGCAAAGATGACAGAAGCGGTTGTCGCTGAGGCTTTAATGGACCACCTGGAAAATACAACTTATTGGCAACGGAACAGCATGGCTTTCGTCAACACCGGACATGCACCACCAATCCGCTTATTACACGCGGTAGTTGGACGAAAGTGGCAGATGATAAGGTCAGAGTTGATTTCATCTATCTGGACTTGTCCAAAGCTTTCGACCGTCTGGATCACCGCATCCTACTTCAAAGACTACAGAGCTATGTAATCGGAGATCATGTACTTGGTTGGATTGGTCGCTTCCTTCACCAACGGAAGCTTCAAGTACGCGTTAGGAATTCACTCTCTAACCCGGTTGAGGTGGAATATGGTGTCCCACAAGGCTGAGGGCTGGGGCCGCGCCTATTCCTGGTGTTTATCAACGACTGACAAAAGTTCTCCTGAAATTTCCTGCTTTTCGTCGATGAGGTCAAGATAGGTCGGGCGATTATGAACAACGAAGATCCCCGTCTACTCCAACGTGACCTATATTGCATATACTAATGGTAAAAGGGGAACCCGCTCCATTTGAACACAGCTAAGTGCTAGTTGATCCATTTAAGTCACCAACCGGTGAGCGCATACAATTTTGGAGACCACACCTTAGAGAAAGCATCTCAGGAGGGTTACCTGGGTGTATTGGTCTAGGAGGATCTCGGGTGTTCAAAACAAGCAGAGAAGGCGACGAGAACCGGCAATCAATATTTCGGTCTTATTCGCAGAGCGTTCGGTGGGTTTGAACCCTCAATCTTTCCCCAAATGCTTAACGTCTATGTGCGATCGCACGTAGAATCTGCTATTCAGGCGTGGCAGCCGTGGCAGAAACAGAATGTTATTGCTCTCGAGACTCCTCAATGAAGGATAACGAAGAACGTCAGGGGCCTCTTTCATCTGCCCTATCAGATTAGACTGAAATCTCCAGGAATATACAGCAGTCAATATCGGCTTTTCCGGAGGGATCTCATAATGGTTTAGCAGCTTCTGAAGAATCCGAACCACATTTGCCGTCCGCTGTTGGAATTGCACCACAACACTAACCTAAGAGGTCATTTCCTGCAACTGACAATACAGCATAACCGGCTTGAATGCGGTGGAAATTGCTTTTCGCTCCGCGTGTGCCAGTCTTGGAACGCCCTCCTTAATTATGTCGTCTCTTCTCTCATTCTGTAGATATTTAAAAGATGAGTTGCCGATGCTTTGTCTCACTTGCATTTCATTTTATGACTGGTCAGCCAGCGGCTACAAAACGCAATCAAACGGTGTCTTGCCAAACTCCCTACCAATGGATGTATGGATTTATACGTTTAATATGCAAACATCTCCGCTATTCTACATAAGTCGATAGTGAGTTCCCCAAAACGCCTTTCACTTTAGCATGCAATGCACTTTTCGCAAGAAGTTGTACCTCACGGGACTTTTTATGCATTACTTTTTACCCTTAATGAACCACTGTTCTATTGTTCTATCATATAACGGAAAGTATTTCTGAATTTCCAAAAGTGGTAAGTTTTAAAACGATGACAAATTTTAATGTACATGGATGTGCAGAACCAACGTCATCTTAGTGAAACATGCATTCAATCTAGCTGAGCACCGCTGCCATTGATTGGTCAAATTACAGACTTAATATGTTGATTAATCTCATCCTCTTATCTTCACAACTCTTATGTTGCCCTTAACGTTTGTGCTGGTGTACTGTTCATCATTGTCTTTGTGTTGATAGCTGGACAAAGCATGATTGGGTCGTCTGAATAGGCCAGTTGTTTGGTTCATGAAGCTTCATAAACCTTTAACAGCAAGTAAAAGTTACAGCGTATACACCCACATTGTAGCTAAGCCGATCGTTATCGAAGCAATACACGGAACCCTGTATACATCGGCTCATTATGGAGGAAACGTTTACACTATCACGAGGTATAGTAATATTTCTAGGACGGCCTTCCATAAAGTTGTCCAGTGTATGCCCGCGCATTTATTCGTTTCACTGCAAACCAATATATTCTAGTGAATAGCGGATCCACTTCCAAAACTTGTGGAATCAATCATTGCAAAGGAACTGATGCAGAATATGAAAAGTCACAGGTTGACAGCCCAAGAGCAACATGGCTTCTGCCAAAACCGTGATTTACAACGGACCTTTAGTTGCGCGCAACACCTGGACTGAATTAGTTAAGGTTGTTGATGATGTCATCAACCTGAACTTCGCAAAAGCTTTTTGATCACTTAGACCACCGTATTCTCCTTCACAAACTTCGGAACCACGGTATTGGCGAATAACTCCTGCGTTGAAAACCAAATTTCCTGCAGGAACGTCGGCTGGGGATGACAGTCTGGGAATCTAATGGAGGCAACTGATTTGGAATGCGGTGTTCCACATAGCCCAGCGCTAGAGTTTCGCTTTCGTTTTCATAAAACATTTAGAGAGATCAAATGGTTCCCAATTACTATCATTCGCTGATGATATTTAAGGCGAGTGATCAGAGCACCGGACCATTACGAAGTGCTCCAGCACAAGCTTAACACAGTTTCAAATAGGTCAACTCTGAGCACCCTACTAATCAATGTTGAAAAATGTCGCGTTGTTCAACTACGCCATAGGCATGATGACATTTATTGGCTTGGGTCACACGGATTGCGGACCAGCTCCCAGGGATGTGATTTTGTCCTGCATCTACAGACTAACCTCAACTGTTCAAAATGGCCTGAAGCCGCTCCAAAAATGGTGACAAGCACATCGGACAGCGGCGAACTGCATCCAAGAGCCTTGATCTATAAATCTTCTCGATGGTGCATAAATTTTTCCTTTCGTCCTCACGTTTAATACGCTATCTAAACTTAACACCCTTTGCTGAAGCACGACCCGGAAGTGCTAGACACCACAACATTGGGCAAAACAGTATGTCAAGGGTCTATGTAATCCCTGTTGCCAGAAACACTAAAGTTGCTAGGAGTTTTAAGTCTATAGCACCGAGGGCTGCGTGGTGTTCTCATACCACTGTACCCAATCTTGTGTTACCCCAAAACAAGTGTGTCACCATTTGCTGAAACTTAGCCACAACAGCTGTTTGAAACTGTGTGAACATTACCGTTGTCTAGGGTGCCGATGGAATTACTCTTGGCTTCTGGCTTGCCAACCCTGCAACTCTCTCCTAAACTTAGTTGTCACCACCCCACCTTGGATAGTAAAGAAACATTAGATGTTTCCGTTGGCTTCTATCACTTCGCTTCCTAAGCTATGCTACTGTAGAAAATAGTAATCATACCATCATACCATGCTAATGTATCACATGAACTTGAGGACATACGGTACTTGTATCCATTTTTTCACATGAAATCATTTAGTCATAATTGTTTTCCATGTTGTCTTGTAAGCTTACATTCAATTCTCATTTCACACTACCGATGTTTAGCAGTGGATTTGCTCGATAGACACATAAACAGGCGACTCATGTACTTTTTGAGATTGTAGTTTTCACCCCATCCATTCTACGGGACTTGTTAAACACCTGCTATTTTAACGCGTGACAATCATTGTTCATTGATCACATGAACAAACACAGCCTTAAGTAAAGCAACTATCACACACATTGCTTTGACTCCATGTCTAGCGAACTCATCAGTGTTTAATCACACTTTACACCATGTAGCGCACTGGTAGCAAACGATGGCACACAAACGGAAATGGCGTTTCACTGGACTAATGTAACAGAAGCGCGTAGGAAAAACGCAGGTTGAGATCTGCTTTACGCGAGTGCCAGGAATCAACGGATATGCTCACCTTGCTTGGGCACAACACGCTTTGTGCTCGTTTGTGGAGTAGAAATGGGAATTTCTCGGCCGTTATGAATCCAGGTGAAATTTGGTGGCGGACTACCGTCCAATGCGACACAAAGAACCGTAATTCGTACTATAGGATCCAATTGGGATATGATTAGTTGATTGTCCGGAGGAGGGACATCTGGATAGAGTATGCGAGGTGGAGCGGGCTTGACTGCAATAGGGAAAGAAAGTAGACTTTTAACCAGCACACAAACCATGTCTAGTTGGTGCACATCTTAGAATAAACAAAACACGTCCCCATGCATGCACAACAAATTGTATGCGCGCGAATGGTACTTTTCATGGGATACATTTGATACATTTTCCTTGGGAATAACGTCCGTGCTTACTTGACAAAGTGAAACGATTAATCATAGGTCTACTGAAATTAAGCAGCTGGTTTCTTAACCGCGCATGCATAGATCGTGAGTCAAATCGCACTGACCGTATGCAGAGCGAATCATCCAACATTCCGATCGTTGTGCGAAAGGGGGACAAGCGATACTTCCCTGGTATTAAGACAGATGCTAGTGTAGTTAACACCTAATTATAATTTTTCCATCAATATTGTAAATATTATATTAATTACGCAAGTAAGTAAAAAGAAACTACTGCAATATCCTTTCCCCTAAGGTCCACCGAATCTCAGTTCGTGCACAGAACAGTTAACGGAGTTCCTACCATTTGAAATGCACACAAGTTTATATCATCAAGTAAGCGAAAAATCCATTTCTAATGGCTCATATTTTAGTAAACAGATCCTAACTCGATCGGTTTGCATAAAGACGCATCATACATTCACTTACTTTAACCAGACGGTATATAAAGTAGGAAACAAAGAATGCTTCAACGATGCAAGCAAAATATTAATGAGCAGTTATTCAAAAGGTTTGCCTTCAAATTTGTCAACCTTTGCAATTGAAAAATGTTGTGATTTTGAACCATTTATTGTTCAGGCACCCAATTATTTTCATATGCGCGGCATACTGCTGTATGGTTATCCTCAAATTTATGAAAAGTGTCCTGAGCAGCATTTGCCTGTATAGTTAGCTTTGGCTTAAAAGACTCAAAGCAAGTAATAGAGGCGTAAGCGGAGCGTGTAGGCTGTCCGGTATATGTAGAGGTCAACATTAGGGGCCTGCTACGAGCCTTGACCTTTCCGCGGAATTTGGGAATCGAGTGAAAATTGATTGGGCAGCAAATACCGGACCACGTCAAATGAATCGAACTATTCGGTCAATAAGATAAATCCGTGGAGCGGAATTCACTCACAATGATTGAAAACGAGAGGCAGAAGATTGATTGTCCTTGATCTCCTAAATTTGCATGTTTGTTTACCAATAACTTGCGTTAACTTATCCTGTAGGTATACTCTCTGTCTACCGAGTTCTGGCATTTTGTATTCCTTCGGTTGGCTGGGTACGTGAGTGAGCATGAAGACAGCCGCAGTCTCACAGGGCAGCAAAGCAGCAGTGAAACACTTGTCATTGACAGAGAGCAGAGGAAAAGAAGAAGCGTTACAACAACAAGTAAGAACTAAGAGTAATTCTGGTCCAATTGTCCAAACGTCCCAATACTCCCGTGTACTTGTAAGTAGCTGCATCACAATTGTTAGAATTGGTAAAACGTCTGCCTCAAGCATGTTGATTACGTCAGTTCGCTATGTAGTTTCCTCCATTATTAACGCATTTTGACAATTGAAATTCCCGGCAACGCAAAGTTGAGATAGGTAGCTATCAAGGTGGGCCTTGACAGTGCTCCCCAACAGTTGTGGCCTAGAAGTCCGAATTAGGATAGCGTAGTTCAGATACAGCAAGTAATTCCATTTCCAATAAGCTTAACTAAAGCAAACCATAGGGAAAATTCCATTTGGTTAGGCACAGATTGTAATGCCGGCGCAGTCATTAGTTGCACAGCCGCACAAATGCAGAGAATTTACCATCTTACAAGAAGTTACAAAGCACCGAACATCAACAAAGCTAGTTCATCGAAATAAGTCATTACGTGGCGTGCGGCCGCACATGAGAACAGCTCAATTGTAAGGACAGTCTCGTATCAACAGGCACCAAAGCAATCGGAAATCCCAATCGAACGGATCACCTGTTGTCACTGGTTCCTGTTTGAAAGGTTACTCAAAATAGCGCACCTTTCATTACCGTGTCATGATGTGGGCAACAATGCAAAGGATTTGTCAAAATACACCTCCTTTCCGTCTTTGGTAGACCAACGGCAACTTCAGGAGCCTAAGATGTTGTGGCAAAGTAGCGAGAAGTACCATGCATAATTAGGCGGGAACGAGGGCGATGATAATCATTCCGTCAGTAATCACGTAAGCTTCCAGATGAGGAATTTAAGATAATCCCGCTGTTTGTTGACGGTTCTATCCTTCACATACAAACAAAAACCAGAACGCCAAGAGTCTGAAGGATTAAAATGAGCGTGATTACACATACCAGCAGTGAACTAAAAGTCAAACAACGGTGCATAGTATGCATTATGCGACACTTCTAATCTGTTCGTTATGGCAAACAGGTGCTTCTTTAGGTAAAACGCTACATTCGTAACCAGATGTTTATATCCGCTTTTTCAACCACTGTCCGCAAATTGTTTTCCACATAGTTTTAACTTCTAGAAGTGTAGACCAAAGTAAACCTCAAAACAGTAGCATGCTTCTGATGGCTGTTGGGGATAAGAAGATAAAAAGCATTTTTGCTCGTGGTTACTCAGAGCTTCGGAGTCTAACTGAAAAAGATGTGCTAGCCTGTGGCTGTGAATGGCGCTACATTCGTGAACTAGGCTCTGTTGATCATTTGGCTGCCTAGTATGCATCAAGTGTACGTCCATTCTAATGTCAAAGATGAGCGCAGTGCAAGAGTAATGAAACACAGTTATAATGCAAATGTCACTCGGAAAAAACGTTATGTAAGGTAAAAGTAGCTATAACAAGCTGCTATTCGAGAGCTGTCTTCAGATTCCCTGTGTCTGGGTGCAGTTAGTCAGACAAACTGTAAACTGCCACTGGTTGTTAGCAGTCTAATTAAAGGAAATTTTTAAACCGGAATGCAGTAGGTTTCAATATACATTTAAATACCAGGACAGTAGCATTATTTGGTGCGTAGCCTAGAAACAGCTCACAACATTTCTCCTCCAAAGACGAGGTAGCTAAAGAAAAGAATCTGCAACTGACTAGTTAAAGATCACAGACAGATAAACCGTCAAGTATTAATTAGCCGCTGAGATGCTAACTGCTGTTCGACTCTCAAACCGAATATTCTCAGCATCCGGACTAAGCATATTTCCGGGACCTCATTTAAACCGAGGTGTGGCTATAGCAATTTCCATATTTTTATATGCTTAGATTGGCCTAGAAAGGAAGGTTTTGTAAATTTGTATAATTGCATTGGCTTACACTTTAGCTTTCCACTAAACCAAAGTTGCATTCATCAACTCCAGCTGATATCCATTAGACCTAAGGCGTGGATGCATAACTTTAGTGTTTATAGTGTATTGTCGTCTATAGCAAATTTTGGAAACTGACAGGTGCCAATAATTTGCCATGAAATAGCGTACCTGTATTATCTATCAGCCCGTGTTCTTTTGTTTGACTGTAGTCTGCGTTCTATTGGTAACTCCTCCGCTTCCTATGAGCAGTTCAAGATAGAACTGAAAAGCTTGAGTTATTATTCGATTTACACGTGAGTTGTCTCTATTATGAGATTAACTCCCAGCTTACAGGGAGTACCGTAATCCAGTGTCCATCTATACAGATCACATCAACACTAAGACAGCCACGTCCCTATCACGAATGCTGCAGCATTGCAGACACGTCCTTCTTTGCAAAAACGCATATCCACTAATCCAAGCTACCTTTGAATACACGCATTAGTAGCAGCTATTATGAACCATGTTAAACCTTCTTTTTCATCAGCGGCATTCCGTGTAAGTTCAACCTGTGATCATCTTTACAGTGTGTCCGGAGCGATCGTAGATGTAATAGCAGAATTATCCATTTGGTATTTAAAGGAATGATTTCTCAGCATGCTAGAGAATCAATGATTTCTTCCGAAATGTGTCTCCATCAGAAGCGCAGTGATAGCCTCGTGGATGTTGAACAGTTTGTTCCTGCGGTTATGTCAATTACTTGTATTATCAAGGTTAACTATCTGAGTTAATCATGGTATTTCTCCTTTTGCATAGAAGATCGTCGCTTTTGCCATCGGTCGGGAGTGACATCATTTTCATTGTCCTCCAAACTCGTAAGTTCAACTACAAAATAAGTTGTTAGGCGTTGCGTGCCCACATCTGAATACGTGTGTCACGCATATGCCGTGATTGCATTAACCATCCCGCACAAACGATCATTTCATCAGATCTATTCTTTGCTGATGGTTCAATATGTTGTGTTAGCATTACAGCAAGGTAGGGTCTGTAGGGTCTGCAGAGCTTTTGCCTTTATTATATTTAGTACAGTCTCAGGTGTTAACTGTTGGCTAAACGCAATTATGTATATAAACCAGATTTTACGTGATGCTTCCAAAGAAATGTGTTAGGTAATTTTCAAACTTGGTAACTAGACGGTCTCGTGCAGACTGCAGTGACTTCAAGGACAGCAAATTAACCTCTCACATCAGATGCCCAACTGACAGCCTTTCTTCATTTCCCTAAATAACTAAGGTAATCATGCGGTACTAGATGGAATGCGTTTTATTTAGCCGATGTTGAATTCATGATTTTGCATTCATGATGCTTCTTCACCGCAGTTGGACTAAACCAACTTACACCTACACTAGGTCTTTTTAAGCCAGATAAATATCATTCCACTTTATTTGCTTAGTTCTGCCTACCTGGATAATCTTCTATTAACAGGCCACGTTGCTTACGCAAATTGCGCTTATCGTCGGTACCTTTGTTGCATTTGTAGCATTGTAAGTAACTTGTGAACAATTCTTACTTACCGCGGATTCATTGCCAACCAACTTATTTCATATGATAATTTAGCGAAGGGTTATGCCACCGTATCTGTATGCACTATTGGATCTAGTTTATTTCAGCTTGTCGTTTCAAGTGATTGGTCGTTGCTTGATATCCCCGGTGTGGCTGCGCTTGATGTGCATGTTGACAAGGTGCCAACCTGTTTATTACATATTACCTCGTTCACACTGGCTCCAGCAGACAGTTGGTCGTTGCTGAAGGGGACGGGGTGCACGGTCCATGTGGTCGTGCTAGGCTCCAAGAGTGGTTCCATGCACACAGTGTGCCGCGGACTACGGTCCAGCCACCGTCTTGTGTGCACTTTATTCCCAACTACAGCGTGCAGGTATTTGCCTGTGAAGGAGTGTGGGCCGACACCGTTGATGAAACGTGGCTCCCATCCACATGCGTCCCGGTCTTATTCCTTCGGGTTTACACTGCATATGGGGTGTGTGATTGGAGCTGTGGGGGGTGCAGCGAAAGCCACCTATGGTCCTTCTGCAGGCGCAGGCGTCCTGCGTCTGGCAACAGTGACAGGCAAATCCGAAACCGGATGCCGCCAACCATATCTAGAGCAAGACTAGCTTCGTCAGCTGGAGCAGCCAATATTTCACGATGTTCAAATGCCTTTTCATAGGATAACAAGTTGAGAATCCGTTACTACTAAACATCTGTAATTTGCAAATAATTCTGCTAACAATGCACAAATATTCATTATTTGAGAAATTTGATAGGTCAGTATCCCTTCCGGTGAATCATCTTTATCACAGGCCGCGGATTTCACAGTTTAATGCAGTTGAGTACTAAACGCTTAATATATGCAGTTACCGTTACTTTGTAGATGAACACCCGGCCATGCAACGCCACGCTACATGAAGCTTTCCTTTGAAACTTACTGTTTCGTAAATTGCATCATGAGCTGTGCATGCGTGGTGACCCTCTCTTTGTTGTGTTCACTGATGGAAAAAGGAGCGGTGGTTGGAATTAGCACTGTAGTTGGTGTTTTCAACAGTTTAGAACACATCCCAGTAGTCAGGGCGGGATTTTTAAACCCACGTGGACCCAAATATTTGTGGTCTGCCTCATTAAGTTGTGTTTCTTAACCGCTAAAATGACATCCCGAGCTGCTCCTTGGAAGTGTTAAGAGACTGCATTTTTGTCCTGTAAACTGACAATCTGTTACTAATTATGCGCAGTAGGCTCACCATTCGTTCATGCTGACTTGTTTTGGGACTGGCAAATTCCTGCCACCGCGCTGGCCCAGCGCGCAGCATAGCATACCGTATGCTTTGCAAATGAACTACTCGATGGACAAACGAACGATACATCGTTGAATATTCATGTATTTAAAGGTCCATTCCGCACGACGCTGGGCACCCCACCGATCGTAGGCTCATGCTTATCTATTGAATGCCGCTGATTATTCGGCTGCACCGCTCAATGGAAACTGCATAATCACACATAGCGTTGACAAAGTTATTCAATGTTTTCAAATTTGGATCACCTGGAGGTTAGCAGTAATTAGAAAGGTGGTGCAGTCAAACAGGCACACCATAGCTGTATCTAATTTCGAGCGGTTAGAAATTTATGGACAGAAATATACAACAATACAGCTGACTGTTTACTCACTAATGCAATTTGTGCGACAAGATGTCTTTAGGTACTCCGTAGTTAAACTTTCTCTGACCCGAATATTAAGTGAATCGGTGCGCTTACAAGTTATCTAAACTTTGTCAAACATTCATCCTTAAAGTTAGAACAAACATGATAGTACCTCGGTGTATATTAAATTCCGCAGTAGTCGAACATGATGTTACTAATTTATGTGAAGTGAAGTATCCTCAGACGAAAAATTTTAAGATTACCGTATAAAGATAAGTTTCAGTTAGATTCAACTAAAATTACTATACCGATGCGTTTTATTCATAATCACCGGTTTCAAACATTTAAATACTACACTCCCCTCCTGTGCGCTCAGGCAAACTATCTTTCTGGGTGCCTTTTTTACTGAGTCATTCAGATGCCAGGTTCTCCCATCCTTCATTGTCTCAACTCTGATGTTCTGTCACTTGTGTAATAGGCACAACCTCTCTAGTGTAGGTGTGTGTGTGTGTGTGTAAGCATTTGATAAGAGATCATTCGTTGTGCAAATATTTGCGGCAAGTTCGACATTTCTGTGAGAGCATCAATCATCTAATCCATTTTGTACTCTTACTGCAAAATACGAAGTAAATATTAATGGATAAATAATTCGAAAACCTTGGGACTTGCATGAAGTGATTAGCTTATTAAACCATTCGATTCACTGATCCAGCCATGCGACCGAACACAACTACAGACGCACTTCAGAACTTACTCAATTCAATGGCTGCAGACATTCAAGTGCATCGTCTCTGACAGCTGCTCATGGGAACGCACAACAAAATAAGTCCTATTCCACGATACAAACAGCTAAGACAATTCAAGCAAATCGGCGGAGAGAGAAACAAGTCAACCTGTTGCGTTAATTAAACTCAAAAGGGAAGTAGTCAATTTTAATTAGCGAAAAGGCCCGTGACCACCAAGAACGCCGTCAAGTTGTAAGAGACTTGGATCGATGAAATTGCGCCTCCAGCCAGGCCATAGTTCGACAGCGAATATAATGAACACGCGGACCAAAAAATCGCTAACAATTCCAACACATTGGTATTCGGCTCATGCGACCACTCACATTGAAATATAGAATCCTGTTTAGTCTAGAGCTTGTCAAGTGAGTTAAACTCTTAAAAGTGTACTGAAAATCTAACACAACAATAGGGTGGTAATGTCTGTGGTTCACATTAAAAATAAAGATGCAAAAGCATTGGAACAGTAAATAAAAAGTTTTAAAACTACGGTGATTATGTCAAACTTAAGCTGGATTGCACACAGAAAAAATAAGCAAACTAAGTAACATACTGCTGAACGACAGGCTTAAATAAGGAATTTCCAGCAACAGTTTATGTGCTCAACATTTGCTATCTGATAACCGGGTACCAAATATTGTAGGTTGGCCCTAATAATTTGTGTGATAAGTTTTAATTCAATCAGTTAGTTAGCGAGAGTTTTGCGTCACAAGAGTGCATACAAACGGCCATTGAATGTTTTCACTAGGCAAAATGCCACCTGTGTTTTCTTTTAGACGGTTGGTCTACCAAAATACCTACAAAAATGGCAATCGGTAATGTCATTGTCCCAAATTTGGATTATTCAAGTTTGAAGCAGTCTTTTTAGTTACCAAGGTTGCACGGAAGTAAAACCGGTTGTGTCTACACTTTTTGCTGTATGAGACGCAAATACGCATGTTAGGAAGGAACACGAGAGTCGAACAAGCCAGGACCCCATCGCCGCGGCCGGCGATCCAAACTCAACCGCTCTGATTGGGGTGAACAGAGCCAACCAAAAGAAGCGGCCAATAAACGCTAGGTCGAAGTTCCTTTATTGGCTGTAAGTTAACCTTTCCAGAGCTTTCCACGATCGCTTTAAATACTATTCACGAACTTTCCATTTTACCTTTATAATGAACGGTGTGATTTACTAATTTATCTCTGTTGCTCTGCTCATCCGATACGGTCTTCTCTCTGTCCTCTGGGGGGCCAACGACTTCGGGTTTGATTGGGAATCAAGCGCCCATTCAGGTGAGAGACAAGCACTTCAACGCACATCTGAATATTTGATCGGCAAACATTAATTTCTGCAGATGTGGGTTGCCTGACGCACACTGTGTAGAAAAAATATTGTTCCCTAATATATCCAACTCGTCAACATCTGATAGGTAAAAGCTGGATTTAGACGATTTTGCACGTGTAACCTGATAATTCCAATTGGGTCAGATATCCGTTTCGCAAATATCTTATGGGGTCAAATTCACCTGGGCTTACCGAGAACCACCAGAATGGTTTTCCGCCGAAGTAATGGATGGTTATTTGCTGGCACAGGCGTAACTTGGCATTCGTACTCTCCGGCATCCTGCAGCTCAATATCCATTATTTGTAGGGTATGTTCCCCTCTGCTGACGTCTCCGATGATTCGATAGCGCGAATTACTGGGTACGGAACGGTCGTATCCTGTATAAAATAGAGATATAACATGCAATATTTATGTTATCAGAGTTAAGATCACGAATTTGAAAGCTGAAATAAATGATTCAGCCTACTCGATCCCATTCAGACATGTCTGGATGACGGTTGTTAAGCGTATGTTTGTGAGCCTACGTTAATCCAATGTCACCCGACAACTGCTTTGACGGAAGTAAAGCTGAGGTTTCCTGTTGCAACAATCAGCCCCAGGTGAGGCCGAGTTATCAAGTAGAATTAACTCCACAAACATCTTAATGTGCAGAGGAATCAGGAAAACAAGAAAAGTGGCTAACATATTCTTTCCCAAAGTTTGACGGCTGCTTTTAGAAGGTCTCTAGCAAACTAGCTTTAAGTGATCCAAAAGTACCCATCCACATATTCTTGGAGAGAAAGAAATTAATAGGATTACCATAAGCTGTACTGTAGCAGAAATCATGTGATTTCCGATGCGACTGACAGGTAAGAGGATATAAGCAGCGGGTTGTGAGCATTTGACCAAGCCTCACAGCCAGCTCATCTGGAAAAAAAGAAACAATGACTACTGGTATGGCTGTTGTGGTACTCATAACATGTCGGAAACCACTTTAGCATTGCAAGTTTGTTTTGTTGATGCCAGCACTAATTATCCGAAGTTGTCCATAGTTAGTAGGTTCAATTAGCTCATTTGTATCGATCCGATAGGTTGACACCAGTTTATTTGCTTTCCATTGTATCTTTGCGTGTGATGGTTTTACTATTCACAGCTGGCTAGCAAGACTTTCTTGAAACACGCTCATAGAATTGCAAACATCTAATTCAGCAAACGGTATTTTTTTAAACCTTTTTATCGGGTCACTGGATACATAGTAGCGACGCAAAAATTTTAATGGACTTTAAAGCCCGGTTAGGGTTCTTTGGGTATTAATTGGCTGCATTGACCAGTACTCAGACGACCACATGCCTCGTAAAACGGATAATAGAGCACTACAAAGTACCATAGCGGCGAGGTGTGGTTGTAATTATTAAACCGTTCTCTAGCTTTAGATCGCCATCAAGGGCATATACCCTAATTTTTGCCAGACCGTAAAGGGAAATCTTACCGACCACTCTGCTATAGTTAATTCATATCAAAACATTTTAGTCCGTTTCGAGCTGCCAGTTCGTGAGCCTTGTTACTATCCAGCTTTCACTATTTACCATTCACTGCAGTCAACATTCGAGCACGCTCCGTTCGGCTTAATCGGCGCCAGTTTTGCTCCCATATTTCCAGCTGTTCTGCAAAAATTATCGAACAGCTGGCTTGTGTCTGGCAACTCAAGCCCAGCTCACAGTATTAGAAATGTTGACATCAGCGAAGTATGTAACCAGTTTAGTCGGGTTTCAAATATTTCGACGTTTTAAAACAGTGCCCATTTCTCTCGCCCTATTGCTTTTCTGAACTCAGCCATGCATGATTAATGAGTATCACGACAGTTGTTAGTTCACATCATGCTTTTGTGTGGAATCGGGCAATTATCTAAAGAGTTCCGTTCTACTGCGGATACCACTCTTTGGTTGACTTGTCTCCCTCCGTTACCAGGCTAGTTTGGATCGTGTATTACCCTGTGTGGACCAGTGCTTCGTATTTTTGTATGCCAAATTTGGTATCCTTCCTGATTCTGAAATAATGTTACCGTCTCAAAATTGACAAGGTTTGTGCTGAACTCGGTACCAGCAAATATTTCCCAAACTTCTACATCACATCCGTCAAGTAGCAGCTCGAAATACATGTAAACCCCAAAACAGCTGTAACACTCAGTACTCATTGGGGCTTGTTCCGTCGTAACAGCCTACCATTCGGTATCCAATCGGCACCGACCATATTTTGGTACAAGTTAGAGATCATCATCAAAGACCTGCCCCTAGCTTTCGTGTACCTGGACGGTATTGTGCTCAGTGGGATAACACCTGATGAACATCAACAAAGTGTGCAAGTGGTTTGAGATTGAAATGTAGAAAGTGCGCATACTTGGTACCCCCCGTTCAGTATCTGGGTTTGCGTATAAGCGCAGAGGGACCAAAGATGATTGGGGAGAAAATGCGGCCTATTTTTTCGAGGCCCCACACCCAAGGAATCAACTGGAGTTTAGGTAGTTCTTGGGTATGTTCAATCACTACTCAAGCTTGATCGTGTATAGAAATTACAGACATGTTCTTATACGTGTCGCGTTCCTAATTAAAATAACGAAGACGATACGTAGTTTGTAGATATGACATTTAAGAATGGGGATTCTTTACACATATGATAGCTGGCACGCTCAGCACGGCAACCAAATCCATCGTGCTTGGACCTGAAGTTGATCAGGTGCGGACAGTGAATGTATGATATTCATGTCCTAGGGCCGCTGATAGTTGGTAAACTCTCGAGTACCAAAACCAGCGTAGAGCTGCCACTAGTTACTCACGTCCGCCTAACCTATTATATAACTACTGGAAGACAAACTGTGTTGGTCAAAATCTAGCAGCTAGTCAGATCGATTAGTCACTTCCGCAGGATGTATCTGTTAAAACCCTTTGAACCATTGTAAAAGTGAGTGTGAGTTTGTCGTGTGCTTGATTCGTACCTTCTAAGTATGGGAAAGCTGAGCCAACGAAGCCACATCGGTTCGACAAGAAATGGGCTCACTTGGGTAGATCGCTCGAGTACTATGGAATAAATTCATCCTGTAAATCTTAGCCGACCAGTACGAGACGAACAAGAGGCAGGGTCGTTATACACTTGTGCCAAGACACAGGGGTATCGGTAGTTCGAAGAGCAACTTACAACCTCAGCGAAAGAAGCCTCCCAAGAGGAGTTTTACTTATGTAAATTCTGTGTCCTGCAATTGATGTACAATGAACAAGGAACAATGTATTTATACAAATTAAGAAGCTTCGCTTTACAAGTCCCGTTGGATAGTTGGTAGGAGCATCGAAATAATAATAATGATAATAGTAATGATAAAATAATAATGGCAGGTTATTATTTTAAACATAAAAATAGGGACTTATCGTTTGCTCCGCCGTAGTCCTGCGATTCGCTTAGATTCACAGTACTCACAGTTAACGTCAAATTAATCCACGGTAAACTCTAGTTGCAGGATGGGGACGTAGCGCTAAGTGGCAAGGGGTAAGTGGATGTGTGCCTCACTCAACCGTCTTGTAAATACTTTTAGTGGCGGTGCAGAGACAACCGATTCTGGGAGAGCGTTCCATGGGTGACAGACACGAATGGAAAAGAAATTTCTGCGGCACTCCAGACGGCTATACTGTACAGCGAGTTTCAATGAGTGACCCCTCAGGTTTGTATTGCTGCTGAGTTGCAGTAAAGGGCGGCACACATGATGTGGGTCTCACAGAATCAAGTATGCCATAATCAGGTCGCCTCGTAGTCTGCGATAGCTTCCACTGAATACCCCCAATCGTTGCAGCCTCTCCTGGTATGAAAGATTGCGCATTCCAATTACGTTCTTAGATGCTGGAAGCTGTGGTTGCTCCAATGCTTTAAGGTCGTGTTTCAGCCATGGATGTCAGGCTTGAATTGCGTACTCGACATGGGGGCGAACATACGCACTGAGCATTTGTCGAAATATGGAGCTGTTTATTTGTCCAAACGCCCATCGCAACAGCCCGACGTGTTGGTTCCCGGTCTTCGAGGCCTTTTCGGATTGCCTGGAGCAACCCAAGTCATCTTGGACCAGGACACCCAAGTCACGTTCGAGAGTTGATTGTTGTAGTATATTCGTTCCGACGGCATGAGTAGTTGCTCTGATGTCGGATGGAAAGCGCCTTGCATTTACGGACTTTGAAATGCACCACATTTTAGGTTGACCATTGATATACCGTTTTCAGGTCACTCTGAAGCAGATGCTGGTCGGCGTTCACCTGGATCCTTCGCCAAATCTTGATATCGTCAGCAAACATTAGGAAGTTTAAAGCGATTCCCTGTGCAACGTAGTTAATAAACACCAAAAACAAACGTGGATCTAGAACTGAGCCTTGCGGCACACCACACTCAACTTGTATGGGTTCGATAAAGAGCTCCGAACTCTGACCACTAATTGCCGTTGAAGTAGAAAGTTGGCAATCCAGCTTAAAAGAGGATCGCCGATCCCGTAATGCTGGAGCTTGGAGAGTAGTATCCGATGATTTAAACGATCGAATGCCTTGGAAAAATTCAGATAGATCACATCAACACCTTCTCCAGCGTCAGCTGCCTCGATCCAACTATTGCGTGCGATTAGTAAATTCACTGTGTATGATCATTGTCGACGGAATCCGTGCTGCTCAGGCGTGATGGTATTACAGTGTTCCAGCTAACATAACAGTGCGTCGGCAACTATGGATTCCATGACCTTGGGGAGTATAGGAAGTAGGCATGCTGGGCGGTAGTTTGAGGGCTCACTTCTGCTTCCACCTTTGTGAATCAGGGTTATTATCTCAACTTTCCACATAGCGGGAACTTGATTCCGGTCTGAGCAGCGCTGGAAAAACTGTGATAAAGTTCTTGCCAGTTGGCTTGCTGCTGCTCTCAGTGCCTCTGGACGAATGGTATCGACACCCGGCGAATTGTGTTTGCGTAGAGACGTCAGCATTTGCAATACAGCCTCCGCGGTAAAAGTGATGTGGATTAGTCCTATCGGAGAGACGACAAAGGTTGGCAGATCGCTTGGTGGCAAGACCCTTTGAAACGTGGGGACATATTACATCCGCAGCGCGTTTGCTGCTTCCACAGCCGTTCATTTTGGGTCATCGGCCATCCTGAGTGGAGAAAATGCTTGCCTCACCTTTTGTAGGCTATTGACGTGCTTGTACAGCAGTTTGTGGTTAGCACTGAAAGCTTTTACGATGTTATGCGGGTATGCGGTATTGTCTTCTCTTATCAGTTGAGTGCAGTGGTTACGTTGGGCTACGTACTTGTCCCAAGCTACTGGTGCTGGAGCTTCTCTGTACACTAGCCATGCTGCGTTGCGTAGTGTAATCCATTTTTG